GCACGGCAAACCACACAAGAGCACGGCAGACCATACAGGAGCACGCCAGACCACACAGGAGCACGGCAGACCACACGTTCGCACGGCAAACTCCACAGGAGCACGGCAGACCCCAAAGGAGCACGGCAGACCACAGGAGCACGGCAGACCGTCTTCGAGGCCTCTTGGGCCGTCTTGGGGCCCTCTTGGAGCCATCTTAGCCGTCTTGGAGGCCATCTTGGCCGTCTTGGAAGACATCTTGGGCGTCTTGGAGGCCTCTTGCGCCGTGTTAGGGCCCTCTTGGGACCGTCTTGGGGACTTCTTGGGCCGTTTCGGGGCCATCTTGAAGGCCTCTTGGGCGATCTTAAAGCGATCTTGGGGGCCTCTTGGGCCGTCTTGGGCCGTCGGAACGCGGCAGGCCATCATTTAGTCTGTTCTGTTGCGTTTATGGGTTTCTCTGACGTTCTCGCCAATACGGTCTCTGACGCACGTGGTGGATAAAAAACGGCGCTTCCCGTTCTTGTCCGGTCAGGTTCCCCAAAATGGCCATTTCGCTCGAGACATCCTCGAAAAATCGAGGTGTTGGAGGCTATCGTTTAAGACGTCTTATGTAAAAATGACGGTTTCGCTCGAGACATCCTCAAAAAATCGGGATGTTGAAAAATATCAAAAATTTTTGTTATGCATGAAAAATGAGCGTTTCGCTCGAGACATCCTCGAAAAAATGAGATGCCGACAGAGGTGTTTTAGAACCTTTTATGTCAAAAAAGACGTTTTCGCTCGGGACGTCCTCAGAAAATGAGCAGGTGGTCTGCCGTGCTCCCGTGTGGAGCACGGCAGACCACGGCCATTTCGCTCGAGACATCCTCAAAAAATCGAGGTGTGGTCTGCCGTGCTCCTGTGTGGTCTGCCTTGCTCCTGTGGTCTGCCGTGCTCCCCAGAGGAGCACGGCAGACCGCGCGTAGGAACCGAGAGGAGCACGGCAGACCAAGACGAGGAGCACGGCAGACCAGGCTTAGGAACCGAGAGGAGCACGGCAGACCAAGACGAGGAGCACGGCAGACCAGGCACCAAGAGCGCCCTCAAGACGACGGAAAGGATGACCAAGACGAGGAGCACGGCAGACCAAGACGAGGAGCACGGCAGACTATGCCCTAAGAGTAATCGAGGTGTGGTCTGCCGTGCTCCTGTGTGGTCTGCCGTGCTCCTGTGGGTTCCGCCGTGCTCCTGTGGCTTTATATCTATGGGTTGCGGGGCTGCACGGCGTTTTTCATTGGCGGATGACGGGAAGCGTCTTCGAGGTACGAGAAGCAAGCGGGACGTTCTGGCTGAATCCTTGAGTAAATATATCTTTTCTTTAACTATATGGGTTGCCGCGCCGCACGGGATCTTTCGTTGGCGGATGACGGGAAGCGTCTTCGAGGTACGAGAAGCAAGCGGGACGTTCTGGCTGAATCCTTGAGTATATATATATATATTTATCTTTATATTATATATATATATATATCTATGGGTTGCGGGGCTGCACGGCGTTTTTCATTGGCGGATGACGGGAAGCGTCTTCGAGGTACGAGAAGCAAGCGGGACGTTCTGGCTGAATCCTTGAGTAAATATATATATAATATATGATAATATATATATCTTTATATCTTCGGGTTGCGCGGGGCGCACGGGTTTTTCATTGGCGGATGAACGTGGAAGCGTCTTCGAGGTACGAGGAAGCAAGCGGGACGTTCTGGCGGAATCCTTGAGTAAATATACTCATATATTATATATCATAATATATTAATCATAATATATAATATATATATAGCATAATATATATAATATCTTTATATCTATGGGTTGCGCGGGCGCACGGGATTTTTCATTGGCGGATTCCCCAAAATGGCCATTTCGCTCGAGACATCCTCGAAAAATCGAGGTGTTGGAGGCTATCGTTTTAGACGTCTTATGTCAACAATGACGGTTTCGCTCGAGACATCCTCAAAAATTCGGGATGTTGAAACATACCAAAAATTTTCATTATGCATGAAAAATGAGCGTTTCGCTCGAGACATCCTCGAAACAATGAGATCCCGACAGAGGTGTTTTAGAACCTCTTATGTCAAAAATGACGTTTTCGCTCGGGACGTCCTCAGAAAATGAGCAGGTGGTCTGCCGTGCTCCCGTGTGGAGCACGGCAGACCACGGCCATTTCGCTCGAGACATCCTCAAAAAATCGAGGTGTGGTCTGCCGTGCTCCTGTGTGGTCTGCCTTGCTCCTGTGGTCTGCCGTGCTCCTCACAGGAGCACGGCAAACCGCGCGTAGGAACCGAGAGGAGCACGGCAGACCAAGACAAGGAGCACGGCAGACCAGGCTTAGGAACCGAGAGGAGCACGGCAGACCAAGACGAGGAGCACGGCAGACCAGGCACCAAGAGCGCCCTCAAGACGACGGAAAGGATGACCAAGACGAGGAGCACGGCAGACCAAGACGAGGAGCACGGCAGACTATGCCCTAAGAGTGCCCTCAAGACGGCCGAACAACGGCAGACCCCATAGGAGCACGGCACTTGTGGTCTGCCGTGTCCCCACAGGAGCACGGCAGACCGCGCGTAGAACCGAGAGGAGCACGGCAGACCAAGACGAGGAGCACGGCAGACCAGGCTTAGGAACCGAGAGGAGCACGGCAGACCAAGACGAGGAGCACGGCAGACCAGGCACCAAGAGCGCCCTCAAGACGACGGAAAGGATGACCAAGACGAGGAGCACGGCAGACCAAGACGAGGAGCACGGCAGACTATGCCCTAAGAGTGCCCTCAAGACGGCCGAACAACGGCAGACCCCATAGGAACACGGCAGACCACAGAAGAGCACGGCAGACCAACAGGAGCACGGCAGACCACACAAGAGCACGGCAGGCCACACAGGAGCACGGCAGACCACACAGGAGCACGGCAGACCACAAAGGAGCACGGCAGACCACACAAGAGCACGGCAGACCCCACAAGAGCACGGCAGACCCCACAGGAGCACGGCAGACCCCACAGGAGCACGGCAGAGCAGACCCAAAAGGAGCACGGCAGACCACACAGGAGCAAGGCAAACCACAGGAGCACGGCAGCCGTAGCCATTTTGGCTCAAGGCCATGGCGCACCCGACGACCGCGAGTCCGTCGGGCGTTCTTGAGCGCGAGGGGCGCTCTGCCACGAGCCAGAAGCTTCGCCACATTTGTGCTTCTTCGTTCCTGCAGGGCCGAGTGGCTCGGCCAAGCTGCGGCCAGTCCCTCGGTGAGCCGCCATGTCGGAGGGTGCCTCGGGGCTCGCTCGGAGGGCTTACTGGTTGTGCGCTAAGCGTGGCTGCAACGCTTGGAATTGGTGCGACAAGCGTTGGACGTGCAAGGCGTGTGGCACCAGCGCTCCCCCATGGACGAAGGAGTACCGCCCCGACAAGGTCTCCCCTCGGGTGGATGCCGACGGGTTCGTGCAGCAGCCCAGGGGAAGAGCTGACCAGCGCGCTGCGAGGCGCTCCGCCTCCCAGCGGGCCCTCTCAGGGAGCACGGCACCCAGCAGCTCCCCCAACAGCAGGACACGGCGTGGGCGTTCCTGGGGAGAGGCAACGTCTCAGTACGATGAGCTCCAGGCGCAGCTCGCGGCGGCCAAGGAGCGGGTCGACAAGCTCCAGGCGGCCGCGGCGCTCGGGCTCTCGGAGGACTTCCAGAGAGAGGCGGAGAAGGCCCTCCAGCAGGGCAGGGACCAGGTCGCCGCCCTCGAGCAGTCGGCCCAGGAGGCCCAGCGGACGGGGCGCCCGCCCCACTCGGTCTTCCACATCGAGGCCAACGCCATCCAGAAGGTCGAGCGTCAGTTGGCCACTGCCCGCACCAAGAGGGAGAAGCTCCAGCTGCAGGCGGCTGAGCTGCGTGACCTCATTGCGGAGAAGCAGGAGCAGCTGTCTGCGGCCGAGTTGGGAGTTGATGAAGTCACTGGGCAGATTGCTGAGCTGGAAGAGACCAAGGCCAAGGTCACGCAGCAGGCGATCCAGAGGGCCAACGCGGCAGTCGGTGGTGTGCCGAGCCCGCTCGGGGACGCTGTCCAGGGGCTGCTCACCCAGGTGGGGGCCCTGTCGGACTTCCTCAAGCAGCACGGGGCTGAGCTGCCCCCCAGGTTCTCGGAGATCGTCGGCATTCTCAACACGCAGAAGGAAGCGGTCGCTGACGTGCTCTTGCCCCGCAGCAGCTCGGCCAGGAAGCGCTGGGGCGACAGCGTTGGCGACGACGGCCTCGCGTCTGAGGACGACGACATGCCGCTCGACATCGAGTCCTCAGGTGGGCCCGTGGCCGCCCCCTCCCCTGGTGCCCCGTGGACAGGGCAGTCCGCGGCTGGGCCGCCCGCCCCACGGGCCAGGTCTGCGGACGGGCCCTACGGGCCCGCAGTGGCCCGTGGCCAGCACGGAGCAACGCTGGGTGCGTGGCCCCAGGTGGAGCCCTGCCTCGCCAAGGCCCTCGCAGAGCAAGGGGCGGCCATCTCGGACGGCGACCCCTTGGTGGCTGCGGCTGCTGCTGTGGCTCCTGCTGCAGGGTACGGGCCGCGCCGTGGGTGACGCAGGAGAGCTGGAGTGGCAAGCCTCCACAGTTCGTGGGCCCAGCTGCTGGGACAGGTGGAGGAGGCGCTGCGACGGTGGAGGAGGCGCTGCGACGGCCGCTGGCGCGTCAGAGCCCCTCGCAGGCGGCGGGCGGCGCCCAAGGGCCTTGCCCGAAGTAGCCAGCTGGCGCGGTCGGGAACACCGAGGTGGCCCCCCGGCGGCCAGTCAGGGGCCGAGAGCGGTGGGATTCAGCCCCACGTCGTCGCAGCTCTCGGCCCCGTTGGTGAAGGGCAGGCGCACCCCCCGCTCGCTGCCGGAGGGGCGGAGGGACGGCCGCCTCCCCAGCGGTGGCCACCTCCCGTGCAGGCGAGTGGCCCGCCGACGACGTCTAGGAGCGCTGGAGCGTGGGGCCAGGTCCCCCCTCCAGTCCTGGTGGGGGTGGAGGGCCCCGCGACCAGGGGTTCGGCGGGCATGGGGCCTGGCGTTGAGGAACGAGCGGCTCGCGAGGCTGCCGTCATCGGCAAAGCGCCGCTGGTTGACAGGGCAGGAGGCCAGCAGCTCCGAGCTGGCCTTGTCTTGCTCGGCTGCAACGGCAATACTTGGAGCAGGAGCATTGAGGTCATTGAAGCCTTCTTCAAGGCGTACGGCTACTGGCCCGACGTTGTGGCGCTGCAGGAGACGAGGCTCCCGCATGAGCGCCTGCCCAGTGCGGCGTCTCAGGCCCAAGGGCTGGGGTACGCGGCCTTCCTACACGCGGCAGTGTTGACGGAGAAGCAGGGGCCCCTGGCGACCTCAGGCGGCGTGGCGATCCTGGTGCGGGACGGCCTGCAAGCCGACGAGTCCGCGGCCCCGCTGCCCTCGGCTTTGCGGCACCGCCTCATCGGAGTGGAGATTGCCGCAGCTTCGGGCCTTCGGCTTCTGGTGCTCGCTGGTTATTTTCAGCACTCTCTGGGCCCTCGAGGCACCAACCTCGACTTGTTTTCGGCCATCTCGGAGGTGACGGGCTCCTATGCAGACATCCCGTGGGTCCTCCAAGCGGACTTCAACATGGAGCCCGAGCCCCTGGAGGAGTTGGGGTGGCCCGCGGCAGTGCGGGGGCACGTCCTGGGGCCCTCGGAGGCGACGTGCCATGCCGAGGGCTGTGACCACCTCTACGACTGGTTCGTGGCTTCTGCGGCGTTGGCGGCCTGCACGGCCTCCTGTGCCACCACGCTCGAGGGCTTTGGGCTGCACCCTCATCGCCCTGTCCTACTTCGCCTACAGGATGTTCGGGCAGATGCGTTGGTTGAGGTGCCGTCCAGGCCCGCCCGCTTTCCCGAGGTAGCCCCTGAGCTCCTTCGGGCACATGAGGACGCGGTGATTGTGCGGTACTCGGTTGGCAAGAAGGGGCAGGTCACGTCCAGGGAGGTCTCGTGGTCCTGGGACGTGGGCTCTGCTCCGACCAACCTCTCCGTTGCCTTCGGCGAGTGGGCGGCAGCCGCAGAAGGCACCCTGGTCGGCATCCACGGCATCGGCCAGGCTGACCTGGCCCGTCATCTCGGCAGAGGAGAGGGGCCGAGGCTGACCCTCAAGCCGCTCAGCGCCCTTGTCAGGCGGGAAGCCAGGTTCAGGTTCAGCCTCCTCACGCACCGCCTAAGGAGTTGTCTGGACGTGGCCCTCCAGCGAGTGCGCGCGGAGAGCACTGGCCGATGGCACCCTCGGCATGCGGTCTGGTACGAGCACCAGGCCGAGCTCAGGGCGCAGCTCTTGCTGGAGGCGGTGCAGGAGGCGGACGACTCGGTCGGTCAGGGCCTTCCTGGTGCTGCTCCTGAGCGGTTGGGCGACCTGGTGTACCAGGCGGGCGTCCTCGGCAGCCCTGAGGCAGTTCGGGACCTCCAAGGGCTGCTCAGTGCTTCGCAGCGCCGCGATGCGGCTCAAAGCGCCCAGGCCTGGCGCAGCTGGGCCCAGACAGCGGTCGAGAAGGGCGGTCGCCTGGCCCACCGCTTCTCGAAGGCGACGCCCCCGCCGACGGTCAGGGACGCTGACTCGGGCAGGAGGCTTGTGGGTATGGCAGCGATTGGCGAACTCACGAGAGTCTGGCAGAAGCTGTGGCTCCAGGACGGGTTTGCCTCGGGCGCGGGGGCCAGCAGCTGGGACGTGGGCGAGTGGCAGCTGCCCCCCATCTCGCTGGAGCAGCTCCAGGCAGCCTGCAAACGCTACAGCCCCTCGGTGGGCCTCGGGTGCGACTCCCTGCACCCTCGGCAGATCCTCCTTCTTCCAGTGGCGCTGCAGCTGCGCATCCTGGACATCCTGGCGGCCTACGACGAGGCCCCAGCATCGATCCACGGGCAGGTCTCCCTGATGGTGTTCATTCCGAAGGCAGACGGTGGGGTAAGGCTCCCATGCGATGCTTATTTTTATTTTTCTTTTTCATTTGTTTTTTATGCTAGACCAAGTTTTTTACTGTTTTGTTTTAAGTTCTATCTTAGTTTGCTTTTGTTCACCGTTTTGCTTTGTTTTTATGTTTTATACATTTGGTTTCTTTATGCCGTGATCCTGCGGCTCTGTCGCGCTCCGCCAACCGTTGCTGTGCACGCTGGAGCTGATACACACTTCCCCTTTTTACGGGGGACGTGATGGGCACAACGGGACTGTGAGAGGGTGGTGGCTGCAAACTGTGGCGGCCACATTTCAGCGAACCGACAGTTCAGGTCTCGGAGCCTATTTTCATGTGACATCAGCAAGTTCTACGAGCACGTGCGGCACGACGTTCTCTGGGCGAATGCGGTACGTTTCGGGTTCAACCTCAGGCTGCTGCGCGGCCTCCTCACGTCCTACCAGGCCCCTAGGATGATCCTAGCGGCGGGCATGGCCTCCCCCGCCTTCGGCACTTCGGGAACGGTGCTGGCTGGGTGTGCGTGTGCGACAGCAGTTGCGAAGCTCCCAGTACTGGGAGCCCTCCTGGCAGCGGGGGCGACGAGCCCGCTGGTCACGCCGAGGAATGTTGTCGACGACATTTCGCTCCAGGCGGTCGGCACGGCTCGGCTCGTGAAGCTGCAGATGGTGGCCGCCAGTTGTGAAGTGGTCCGACAGCTGCGTGAGCAGCACCTCCCACTCAACGAGAGTAAGTCGGTCTTCCTGGCCTCGTCGCCGCAGCTCGCCAAGGAGCTCTCCGAGGCTTGGGCGGCGCATGGCTTTACCTTCAAGAGGGGACTTCAGGCGAGGAACCTCGGCACCGACGCCAACATCACTCGTCGTGGAGTTCATGAAGGAGCTGTGCGTGCGGTCGGCGGCCTTCGCCGAGGACGCAGGCTAGGGGTGCTTCGCTCAGCTGGCGCGGCTACCGAGATGGTCCATCGTGCTGGGCCCACCGCGGCGATGCTGTGGGGGCGCACTGTGACTGGTGTTCCTGATAGGGAGCTGCATTCGTGGCGCCTGGCGGCGGTGCGCTCAGCTGGGAAGTTCCCTAAGGGCGCCTCGCTCGGGTTGAGACTCAGAGTGGTGGAGGTCATGAAGTCCATCGACCTCGACCCGAGCCCCGCGCTGCTTCGTGCCGCGGTGCAGATGGCGGCCAGTCTCCTCCAGTCGGGGGAGGTCCCGCTGCGTATGTTCGAGTCGGCCGTGCAGGAGGCAGTGCAGAGGCACGCGGGAGCAGCAGCCCCCTGGGCGCACTGCCGCACGCCGGTGGATGCCCTGGCCCTCTCGCTCTCCAGGGTGGGCTGGAGGCTTGTTCAAGGAGCCCGCCTCGCAACCGACGACGGCCATCTCCTGGACCTGCGCATGTTGGGGCCGCGCGAGCTGGGCCTGCTGGCTGCGGCAGGGGCACGGCGAGCGTCGGACAAGTCGGAGCTGGCCCGCCTCGGCCACGGTGCGCTCCCTCAGTCGCCCCTGTTCTGGGAGGCCTTCGCGGAGGTCCTCGGGCCTGGCAGCAAGCTCAGCCACAGGGAGAAGGCGGCGGTGGTGAGCTTCCTTTCCAACGCCCACTGGCCCCAGACCCGTCTGCACGCGGCGGGTGAGAGGGAGCACGCTCGCTGCTGTGCCTGTGAGGCCCCCCGCGGCAGCCTCTGGCACAGGCTGTTCGAGTGTCCTGTCCTGCGGGGGCCAGGCGTGACTCCACCTCTGACCGCCTTCGGCGCTGTGCGCATCGTGCACGCGGTCGTGGCGAGGAGGCGGGTGAATGTTTCGCGCGCTGCTGGCTCCCTCAGCCACCGAGGGCCGCCCCGAGGTCAGACGCCATGGCAGTCATGTGGTGCAATCGCCCCGCCGACGGTCTTCTCGGGGGGCGGCTCTACCTGGATGGGTCGGCGCTCGACCCCGAGCACGAGAGCCTGCGGCGTGCGGGATGGAGCATCGTGCAGTGCGACTCCGACGGCAACATGGAGTGCGCGGTGTACGGCAGCGTGCGCCAGGACCTCTGCCCGTTCCAGACGGCGAAGGACGGCGAGGATTTCGCGGTCTGGATGCTGTCTCGCTTTCTGGGCCCGAGCGTTGACGAGATCCTCATCGATTGTGCGTCCACGGTCAGCTGCCTCACGTTGGGTAAGAAGTACGCGACGGCAGCCAACAAGCCCAACGCCCACCTCTGGGAGGGGATCTACGCGTCGCTGGACGTGGACACGCTCAAGGTGACCAAGGTGGCAGCCCACTGCACCGCCAGAGACGTGATGGATGGCAAGATCACGGAGGCGGACCTCCGTGGCAACGGACATGCAGACCGCTGGGCCAAGGCGGGGGCGGAGCTGCACCGTACCAGCCCAGTGGCCAGACGCGAGTTCTTTGGCACGATGGAGGTGGTGAGGGAGCTCTCTTGCTGGGTGGCGCAAGCCTCCCTCATCTGGCAGGGGATCGAGGTCAAGGACTGCGAGGGCCTCCCCGAGGGCAGCGAGCGGGCGGCCGTCTCCTTCGCAGTGCCAGTGGTGGAGCCCGCCAGCAGCCGCCCGCCCGACTCGGGTTCGGGCGACGGGTGGGCATCGGCGGCGCGCGCTGGTGGCGTCTCCCTCGGGGCGACGGCCTTCGTCGTCGTCGGCCACGTCCTGGCCTACGCCAAGTGCGGGGAGGGCGCAGCCGAGCAGGAGCTGATGGCGTGCACCCACTGCGGGGCGTACGCGCGGCTGGGCGGGCGATCAGGTGCGGCGCCCAAGCTCAAGGAGCAGTGCCCTGGGTCGGCTGGGCTTCCCAAGGGCAGGAGAGACCAGAAGGCGCGCTGGTTGCAGGGGCGGCACCCTGCTGGCACGCCCCACAGCGGCAGCAAGAGGGTCGGAGCGTCCGTGCCCAGCTTGCGCAAGGAGGACGTTGTGCCGATGGCCGCCAGGGTGCGCTTCCTGGAGTGGCTGGGGGTCCGCCCCGATGATGCACCTGGCGGCGCGGCCGCCGACGCCGGCCGAGGGCCCCCCAGCGGCGCGGCGGCAGCAGGTGAGGCGGAGGCTGAGCCCCTGGCGCCTGACTCCTCAGAGACCTCGAGGGAGGCTTGGCTGAGCGCCTACGGGCTCGACGAAGCGAGCCTCCTTGAGTGGTCAGCCGCAGCAGAGACGGCGCGCGAAGACAGGCGCAAGAGACGCCGTCGCGCTGAAGGTGACGAAGGGGAGTGATGCAGCATCACTTTCCTCTTTCTGTTGTATCTGCCCCTCGTCACCTCTTTTGGCGTGTGCGTGAGGCAGCGTCTTCTGCCCCGCATTGCTGTGCAGCGAGGCGGCTCTGTTAGGCGTGGTGTGCGCCTCCGCCCCGCTGCCTTCTGATTTCTTTGAAATCGTGCGCTTCGCGCATTTGGCGCTTCGCGCCGCCCCTGGCGGCTCCCTTGGGGCCCCTAGGGTTGGCCCTTGAGGCCCTGGGGCCAACGGGCTCTGTGGGCCTCGGGCTCCTTTTAGCCTTCATAGGCCCCGCAGCTCACAGCTCACAGAAGAGCACGGCAGACCAACAGGAGCACGGCAGACCACACAAGAGCACGGTCCGTAGCCATTTTGGCTCAAGGCCATGGCGCACCCGACGACCGCGAGTCCGTCGGGCGTTCTTGAGCGCGAGGGGCGCTCTGCCACGAGCCAGAAGCTTCGCCAATTTTGTTCTTCTTCGTTCCTGCAGGGCCGAGTGTCTCGGCCAAGCTGCGGCCAGTCCCTCGGTGAGCCGCCATGTCGGAGGTTGCCTCGGGGCTCGCTCGGAGGGCTTACTGGTTGTGTGCTAAGCGTGGCTGCAACGCTTGGAATTGGTGCGACAAGCGTTGGACGTGCAAGGCGTGTGGCACCAGTGCCCCCCCCTGGACGAAGGAGTACCGCTCCGACAAGGTCTCCCCTCGGGTGGACGCCGACGGGTTCGTGCAGCAGCCCAGGGGAAGAGCTGACCAGCGCGCTGCGAGGCGCTCCGCCTCCCAGCGGGCCCTCTCAGGGAGCACGGCACCCAGCAGCGCCCCCAACAGCAGGACACGGCGTGAGCGTTCCTGGGGAGAGGCCAAGTCTCAGCACGATGAGCTCCAAGCGCAGCTCGTGGCGGCCAAGGAGCGGGTCGACAAGCTCCAGGCGGCCGCCGCGCTCGGGCTCTCGGAGGACTTCCAGCGAGAGGCGGAAAAGGCCCTCCAGCAGGGCAGGGACCAGGTCGCCGCCCTCGAGCAGTCGGCCCAGGAGGCCCAGCGGACGGGGCGCCCGCCCCACTCAGTCTTCCACATCGAGGCCAACGCCATCCAGAAGGTCGAGCGTCAGCTGGCCACTGCCCGCACCAAGAGGGAGAAGCTCCAGCTGCAGGCGGCTGAGCTGCGTGACCTCATCGCGGAGAAGCAGGAGCAGCTGTCTGCGGCCGAGTTGGGAGTTGATGAAGTCACTGGGCAGATTGCTGAGCTGGAAGAGACCAAGGCCAAGGTCACGCAGCAGGCGATCCAGAGGGCCAACGCGGCAGTCGGTGGTGTGCCGAGCCCGCTCGGGGACGCTGTCCAGGGGCTGCTCACTCAGGTTGGGGCCCTGTCGGACCTCCTCAAGCAGCACGGGGCTGAGCTGCCCCCCAGGTTCTCGGAGATCGTCGACATTCTCAACACGCAGAAGGAAGCGGTCGCTGACGTGCTCAGGCCCAGCAGCAGCTCGGCCAGGAAGCGCTGGGGCGACAGCGTTGGCGACGACGGCCTCGCGACTGAGGACGATGACATGCCGCTCGACATCGTGTCCTCAGGTGGGCCCGTGGCCGCCCCCTCCCCTGGCGCCCCGCGGACGGGGCAGTCCGCGGCTGGGCCGCCCGCCCCGCGGGCCAGGTCTGCGGACGGACCCTACGGGCCCGCAGTGGCCCGTGGCCAGCACGGAGCGACTCTGGGTGCATGGCCCCAGGTGGAGCCCTGCCTCGCCAAGGCCCTCGCCGAGCAAGGGGCGGCCATCTCGGACGGCGACCCCTTGGTGGCTGCGGCTGCTGTTGTGGCTCCTGCTGCAGGGTACGGGCCGCGCCGTGGGTGACGCAGGAGGACTGGAGCGGCAAGCCTCCACAGTTCGTGGGCCCAGCTGCTGGGACAGGTGGAGGAGGCGCTGCGACGGCCGCTGGCGCGTCAGAGCCCCTCGCAGGCGGCGGGCGGCGCCCAAGGCCCTTGCCCGAAGTAGCCAGCTGGCGCGGTCGGGAACACCGAGGTGGCCCCCCGACGGCCAGTCAGGGGCCGAGAGCGGTGGGATTCAGCCCCACGACGTCGCAGCTCTCGGCCCCGTTGGTGAAGGGCAGGCGCACCCCCCGCCCGCTACCGGAGGGGCGGAGGGACGGCCGCCTCCCCAGCGGTGGCCACCTCCCGTGCAGGCGAGCAGCCCGCCGACGCCGTCCAGGAGCGCTGGAGCGTGGGGCCAGGTCCCCCCTCCAGTCCTGGTGGGGGCGGAGGGCCCCGCGACCAGGGTTTCGGCGGGCATGGAGCCTGGCGTTGAGGAGAGCGCGGCTCGCGAGGCTGCCGTCATCGGCAGGGCGCCGCTGGATGACAGGGCAGGAGGCCAGCAGCTCCGAGCTGGCCTCGTCTTGCTCGGCTGCAATGGCAATACTTGGAGCAGGAGCATTGAGGTCATTGAAGCCTTCTTCAAGGCGTACGACTACTGGCCCGACGTTGTGGCGCTGCAGGAGACGAGGCTCCCGCACGAGCGCCTGCCCAGTGCGGCGGCTCAGGCCCGAGGCCTGGGGTACGCGGCCTTCCTACACGCTGCAGTGTTGACGGAGAAGCAGGGGCCCCTGGCGACCTCAGGCGGCGTGGCGATCCTGGTGCGGGACGGCTTGCAGGCCGACGAGTCCGCGGCCCCGCTGCCCTCGGCATTGCGGCACCGCCTCATCGGAGTGGAGATTGCCGCAGCATCGGGCCTTCGGCTTCTGGTGCTCGCTGGTTATTTTCAGCACTCTCTGGGCCCTCGAGGCACCAACCTCGACATGTTTTCGGCCATCTCGGAGGTGACGGGCTCCTATGCAGACATCCCGTGGGTCCTCCAAGCGGACTTCAACATGGAGCCCGAGCCCCTGGAGGAGTTGGGGTGGCCCGCGGCAGTGCGGGGGCATGTCCTGGGGCCCTCGGAGGCGACGTGCCATGCCGAGGGCTGTGACCACCTCTACGACTGGTTCGTGGCTTCTGCGGCGTTGGCTGCCTGCACGGCCTCCTGTGCCACCACGCTCGAGGGCTTTGGTCTGCACCCTCATCGCCCTGTCCTACTTCGCCTACAGGATGTTCGGGCAGATGCGTTGGTTGAGGTTCCGTCCAGGCCCGCCCGCTTCCCTGAAGTAGCCCCTGAGCTCCTTCGGGCACACGAGGACGCGGAGATTGTGCGTTACTCGGTTGGCAAGAAGGGGCAGGTCACGTCCAGGGAGGTCTCATGGTCCTGGGACGTGGGCTCTGCTCCGACCAACCTCTCCGTTGCCTTCGGCGAGTGGGCGGCAGCTGCAGAAGGCACCCTGGTCGGCATCCACGGCATCGGCCAGGCTGACCTGGCCCGTCATCTCGGCAGAGGAGAAGGACCGAGGCTGACCCTCAAGCCGCTCAGCGCCCTTGTCAGGCGGGACGCCAGGTTCAGGTTCAGCCTCCTCACGCACCGCCTAAGGAGTTGCCTGGACGTGGCCCTCCAGCGGGTGCGCGCGGAGAGCACTGGCCGATGGCACCCTCGGCGTGCGGACTGGTACGGGCACCAGGCCGAGCTCAGGGCGCAGCTCTTGCTGGAGGCGGTGCAGGAGGCGGACGACTCGGTCGGTCAGGGTCTTCCTGGTGCGGCTCCTGAGCGGTTGGGCGACCTGGTGTACCAGGCGGGCGTCCTCGGCAGCCCTGAGGCAGTTCGGGACCTCCAAGGGCTGCTCAGTGCTTCGCAGCGCCGCGATGCGGCTCAAAGCGCCCAGGCCTGGCGCAGCTGGGCCCAGACAGCGGTCGAGAAGGGCGGTCGCCTGGCCCACCGCTTCTCGAAGGCGACGCCCCCGCCGACGGTCAGGGACGCTGACTCGGGCAGGAGGCTTGTGGGCATGGCAGCGATTGGTGAACTCACGAGGGTCTGGCAGAAGCTGTGGCTCCAGGACGGGTTTGCCTCGGGCGCAGGGGCCAGCAGCTGGGACGTGGGCGAGTGGCAGCTGCCCCCCATCTCGCTGGAGCAGCTCCAGGCAGCCTGCAAACGCTACAGCCCCTCGGTGGGCCTCGGGTGCGACTCCCTGCACCCTCGGCAGATCCTCCTTCTGCCAGTGGCGCTGCAGCTGCGCATCCTGGACATCCTGGCGGCTTACGACGAGGCCCCTGCATCGATCCACGGGCAGGTTTCCCTGATGGTGTTCATTCCGAAGGCAGACGGTGGGGTAAGGCCCATAGCGCTGCTGCCGTTGGTCCTGCGGCTCTGGTCGCGCCTCCGCCAACCGTGCTGTGCACGCTGGGAGGCTGACCACAACTTCCCCTTCTTCTGGGGACGTGATGGGCGGGACTGTGAGAGGGCTGGTTGGCTGCACAACTGTTTCGCGGGGTTCGCGAAGTCGAACCTGCAGTTCGAGGCCGCGAGCCTCTTCCTGGACATCAGCAAGTTCTACGAGCACGTGCGGCACGACGTTCTCTGGGCGAATGCGGTACGTTTCGGGTTCAACCTCAGGTTGCTGCGCGGCCTCCTCACGTCCTACCAGGCCCCTAGGCTGATCCTCGCGGCGGGCATGGCCTCCCCCGCCTTCGGCACTACGGGAACGGTGTTGGCTGGGTGTGCGTGTGCGACAGCAGTTGCGAAGCTTCCAGTACTGGGAGCTCCCTGGCAGCGGGGGCGACGAGCCCGTTGGTCACGCCGAGGAATGTTGTCGACGACATTTCGCTCCAGGCGGTCGGCACGGCTCGGCTCGTGAAGCTGCAGATGGTGGCCGCCAGTTGTGAAGTTGTCCGACAGCTGCGTGAGCAGCACCTCCCACTCAACGAGAGTAAGTCGGTCTTCCTGGCCTCGTCGCCGCAGCTCGCCAAGGAGCTCTCCGAGGCTTGGGCGGTGCATGGCTTTACCTTCAAGAGGGGCCTTCAGGCGAGGAACCTCGGCACCGACGCCAACATCACTCGTCGTGGAGTTCATGAAGGAGCTGTGCGTGCGGTCGGCGGCCTTCGCCGAGGACGCAGGCTAGGGGTGCTTCGCTCAGCTGGCGCGGCTACCGAGATGGTCCATCGTGCTGGGCCCACCGCGGCGATGCTGTGGGGGCGCACTGTGACTGGTGTTCCTGATAGGGAGCTGCATTCGTGGCGCCTGGCGGCGGTGTGCTCAGCTGGGAAGTTCCCTAAGGGCGCCTCGCTCGGGTTGAGACTCAGAGTGGTGGAGGTCATGAAGTCCATCGACCTCGACCCGAGCCCCGCGCTGCTCCGTGCCGCGGTGCAGATGGCGGCCAGTCTCCTCCAGTCGGGGGAGGTCCCGCTGCGTATGTTCGAGTCGGCTGTGCAGGAGGCAGTGCAGAGGCACGCGGGAGCAGCAGCCCCATGGGCGCACTGCCGCACGCCGGTGGATGCCTTGGCCCTCTCGCTCTCCAGGGTGGGCTGGAGGCTTGTTCAAGGAGCCCGCCTCGCAACCGACGACGGCCATCTCCTGGACCTGCGCATGTTGGGGCCGCGCGAGCTGGGCCTGCTGGCTGCGGCAGGGGCACGGCGAGCGTCGGACAAGTCGGAGCTGGCCCGCCTCGGCCACGGTGCGCTCCCTCAGTCGACCCTGTTCTGGGAGGCCTTCGCGGAGGTCCTCGGGCCTGGCAGCAAGCTCAGCCACAGGGAGAAGGCGGCGGTGGTGAGCTTCCTCTCCAACGCCCACTGGCCCCAGACCCGTCTGCACGCGGCGGGTGAGAGGGAGCACGCTCGCTGCTGTGCCTGTGAGGCCCCCCGCGGCAGCCTCTGGCACAGGCTGTTCGAGTGTCCTGTCCTTGCGGGGGCCAGGCGTGACTCCACCTCTGACCGCCTTCGGCGCTGTGCGCATCGTGCACGCGGTCGTGGCGAGGAGGCGGGTGAATGTTTCGCGCGCTGCTGGCTCCCTCAGCCACCGAGGGCCGCCCCGAGGTCAGACGCCATGGCAGTCATGTGGTGCAATCGCCCCGCCGACGGTCTTCTCGGGGGGCGGCTCTACCTGGATGGGTCGGCGCTCGACCCCGAGCACGAGAGCCTGCGGCGTGCGGGATGGAGCATCGTGCAGTGCGACTCCGACGGCAACATGGAGTGCGCGGTGTACGGCAGCGTGCGCCAGGACCTCTGCCCGTTCCAGACGGCGAAGGACGGCGAGGATTTCGCGGTCTGGATGCTGTCTCGCTTTCTGGGCCCGAGCGTTGACGAGATCCTCATCGATTGTGCGTCCACGGTCAGCTGCCTCACGTTGGGTAAGAAGTACGCGACGGCAGCCAACAAGCCCAACGCCCACCTCTGGGAGGGGATCTACGCGTCGCTGGACGTGGACACGCTCAAGGTGACCAAGGTGGCAGCCCACTGCACCGCCAGAGACGTGATGGATGGCAAGATCACGGAGGCGGACCTCCGTGGCAACGGACATGCAGACCGCTGGGCCAAGGCGGGGGCGGAGCTCCACCGTACCAGCCCAGTGGCCAGGCGCGAGTTCTTTGGCACGATGGAGGTGGTGAGGGAGCTCTCTTGCTGGGTGGCGCAAGCCTCCCTCATCTGGCAGGGGATCGAGGTCAAGGACTGCGAGGGCCTCCCCGAGGGCAGCGAGCGGGCGGCCGTCTCCTTCGCAGTGCCAGTGGTGGAGCCCGCCAGCAGCCGCCCGCCCGACTCGGGTTCGGGCGACGGGTGGGCGTCGGCGGCGCGCGCTGGTGGCGTCTCCCTCGGGGCGACGGCCTTCGTCGTCGTCGGCCACGTCCTGGCCTACGCCAAGTGCGGGGAGGGCGCCGCCGAGCAGGAGCTGATGGCGTGCACCCACTGCGGGGCGTACGCGCGGCTGGGCGGGCGCTCAGGTGCGGCGCCCAAGCTCAAGGAGCAGTGCCCAGGGTCGGCTGGGCTTCCCAAAGGCAGGAGAGACCAGAAGGCGCGCTGGTTGCAGGGGCGGCACCCTGCTGGCACGCCCCACAGCGGCAGCAAGAGGGTCGGAGCGTCTGTGCCCAGCTTGCGCAAGGAGGACGTGGTGCCGATGGCCGCCAGGGTGCGCTTCCTGGAGTGGCTGGGTGTCCGCCCCGATGATGCACCTGGCGGCGTGGCCGCCGACGCCGGCCGGGGGCCCCCCAGCGGCGCGGCGGCCGCAGGTGAGGCGGAGGCTGAGCCTTTGGCGCCTGACTCCTCGGGGGCCTCGAGGGAGGCTTGGCTTTCCGCCTACGGGCTCGACGAAGCGAGCCTCCTCGAGTGGTCAGCCGCAGCAGAGGCGGCGCGCGAAGACAGGCGCAAGAGGCGCCGTCGCGCTGAAGGTGACGAAGGGGAGTGATGCAGCATCACTTTCCTCTTTCTGTTGTATCTGCCCCTCGTCACCTCTTTTGGCGTGCGCGTGAGGCAGCGTCTTCTGCCCCGCATTGCTGATGCAGCGAGGCGGCTCTGTTAGGCGTGATGTGCGCCTCCGCCCCGCTGCCTTCTGATTTCTTTGAAATCGTGCGCTTCGCGCATTTGGCGCTTCGCGCCCTTCCCCCTGGCGGCTCCCTTGGGGCCCCTAGGGTTGGCCCTTGAGGCCCTGGGGCCAACGGGCTCTGTGGGCCTCGGGCTCCTTTTAGCCTTCATAGGCCCCGCAGCTCACAGCTCACACAAGAGCACGGCAGGCCACACAGGAGCACGGCAGACCACACAGGAGCACGGCAGACCACAAAGGAGCACGGCAGACCACACAAGGGCACGGCAGACCCCACAAGAGCACGGCAGACCCCACAGGAGCACGGCAGACCCCACAGGAGCACGGCAGAGCAGACCCAAAAGGAGCACGGCAGACCACACAGGAGCAAGGCAAACCACAGGAGCACGGCAGACCACACAGGAGCACGGCAGACCCCACAGTAGCAAGGCAGACCCCAAAGGAGCACGGCAGACCACCGGAGCACGGCAGACCACACAGGAGTACGGCAGACCCCACATGAGCACGGCAAATCCCAAATGAGCACGGCAGACCACAAGAGCACGGCAGACCACACAGGAGCACGGCAGACTCCACAGGAGCACGGCAGACCACAAAGGAGCACGGCAGACCACACAGGAGCCCGCAGACGCCACAGGAGCACGGCAGACGCCACAGGAGCACGGCGGAACACAGGAGCACGGCAGACCGCGCGCGGGTACAACATAAACGCGCCTTTTTGTTGTACCCCGAACGCCGCTGGCGTTTCCCCCACAGGAGCACGGCAGATCTCACAGGCGCGCGGCAGACCCCAAATGAGCACGGCCGACCACAGGAGCACGGCAGACCCCAAATGAGTACGGCAGACCCCAAAAGAGCACCGTAGACGCCTCAGGAGCACGGCTGACCACACAGGAGCACGGCAGCCTGGGCCGGTTCCGGCGCCGGCCGGCGCCGGAAAATTGAATTCCGAGGCGGTGCCGAAAAAAGGCCACTCCAAGACATATTTTTCTTTCGAAAATATTGATTTTCTGCTCCCGGCGCCCGGGAACCCCTTCCGGGCCGCTTCTGGCACCCGGGCCGGCGCTCGAGCCAAACGCCCGGGCCAGCACCCGGGCCAGCGCCCGGGCCGGTTCCGGCGCCGGCCGGCGCCGGAAAATTGAATTCCGAGGCGGTGCCGAAAAAAGGCCACTCCAAGACATATTTTTCTTTCGAAAATATTGATTTTCTGCTCCCGGCGCCCGGGAACCCCTTCCGGGCCGCTTCCGGCACCCGGGCCGGCGCTCGAGCCGAACGCCTGCTTTGATCGTCGGGTGGGTGTAAGTGCGGTAAGAGCGTTGTATATCCGATGAAATCGTTTCAACGAAGATGTATGTAGGTTCATGCTAGTTGACCTCACATATTCAACATATATAAAATATCGAACTTCGCATTCATCTACTTAACGTTTTGTTAGATAAGTATATTCAACAACATACCATACATACTACTCACAGAACCATCCATCTTATCAACTGAGCTATCGGGTACCACTGCCAAGATATATCGATACATACACCTCAACATACCCAACTTAGTAGCTAAGTCAGCTAAGTCGATGTGGGCTGTCCGATTCGGTTAACCCGAAATTTGCATAACTTTCTATGTTTTGCATGTTTGTTCTTGATATTGCTATGTTTCGGGAAAAAACCACAAAAAACGTTTTAACAACTACAACACAACAGTTTTTCAGGACAGGGCGCCGCAGGTCGACGCGCCGAGCCGCCCTCAGGACGCCTGCGGGGCGCGGAGGGGAAGGGGGGAGAGGGAGAGGGGGGGGGATCAACTATTCTTCAAACTGCCTCCCCTCGGCGGCCATCACCGCCTCCCCTCTCCTCTCCTCGTTGTCGGCGGCCAGCCCGCCCCCGCTCCCTCCTGCCGCCTTCCCTCCCCGAGCCCGCCTTCCTTCTTCGGCGGCATATCCGCCCCTCCCTCCTGCACCTCTCTATCGAAGGGCGGCGCATCCGCCAGCGGCATATCCGCTCTCGCATGCGCTCGTTTTTTCCTTTTTCACGTGATGGCGAGCACATAGCCATCGTCCTGTAGTCGCCGATAAGCCGCCCAGGCTGGCGGGATCAGCTCGGCGGGCATCACGGCGACGTCGCCGCGCGGCCGCCACAGGGACGCGCCTGGGCATGGCGCGCGCACCCATTCCAGGGTCTCCACCAGCAGGTAGCTGGCGGCGCCAGCCTGCGCGCAGCAATGCACGATGTACGCCTCGCCGTCGCCCAGGAGAAAATCCTGAGGGCAGCAACGCCTCGATTTTTGGGGGGGCACACGCATGTGCACCCCTAAATACCAAGGTTGGTTGCGCCGTCTGTCCTGGCTGCCGTACATCTGGCCGTCGATCGACGCCTCTCTGCTGGTCCACGTTTCAGCCCTGCGGAGGGGTTCCTCCTCCTCCTCCTCCTCCTCCTCCTCCTCCTCCTCCTGGCGGCGAGCCGCCTCGGCGGCAAACCGCCTTCCCCTCTCCCAGCCCATCTTCCTCCACAAAGGGCATGCAAGGTTGCGCCCCGAGTGCCCGAACGTACTGTCCAGCTCTGGCGTGCGCCACGCTTTGGCGCGGGAGCGCGGCGCCTCCTTCGCTTCCTCCAGGAAGCAGGCGAGCATCGCCGTCAAGGCCGACCGCTCGAAATTCTCAGGGTTGTCGATCTCCTGCGACCTGGACCGAAGCAGGTTGTGCTTCCGCTCGAGCACGAAGGCGTCCAACCAGATGCCGTCCTCCGCAGGCTGGTCGGGGACGTGCCACAAATAATGATGCTTCGGCTTGATCAGGGCTGGCCCGTGCGCGGCTTTGTGCAGCGCCAAGGAAATCGAAACGGCCTTGGTCCAGACAGCTATCAAATTCGGCACGGCGCCGATCCTCAGGACGTAGCCGAACCGCCTGCCACCTAAGCGCTCGAGGATGCGCGCGGGCCGACGCGGTGCATCCTCGAACGCGCAGGCCAGCGTTTGCGTTTCAGCTGCGGCCGCATGTCCTTTTGCCCTGCATGTACAATTCGAGCATCTTCGCCATCGCCTCGAACGACCGCGCCGCAGCGTTCGCCATGCCGCTGGGACGCAGCTCTGTGTGCACCCAATGACGAATCAAAGGGAACACGGCCAAGCAATCCGACGCCTTGCCCACGAAGTGCGACGCCTTGCAGGTCGCTTTCTTCCGAGCCACGCTGAACAGAAACGCTGGCGGTTTCCTGCCGCGTCTGCCAGTCCGCCACGCCGAGCAGCGATCCCGCCACGTTCCCCACGCGTCGGGGATGACATCCCTCACCGCCTTGAGGAGCGCAAAGATTTCGACCTGCAAGGTCCCGCCGCTGGCCAGCATGGTATGCATGGGGTCCCTCACGTATGTGCTCGGCGGCGCCACCGTCCGCAACGCCTGGCACGCCACCAGAGAACGGTCATCCAGAGTGATGCCCATTGCCGTCTCCTTCGGGGGCCGGAACATCAGAAGGGAAGGAAGGGGGGGACATCAGAAGGGGATCGATGGAAATGTTTTCCTCCCTGGCTCCAGTCTCTCGATGTTCGCTCTGGTTGTCGTGTCCCGCAGCGACGCCAAATCATCATATTGCTGCAAAAACTCGTCTGACGACAGCGGGTCAAAGCGCGACGAGTCAGCGCACCAGAGAGGCACGAGGTAATCATCGTCGTCGTAGTCTGCAAGACATTCCGCCTGATCCAGCACAACGTTCTTGCATTGCAAGCACGGTCTCAGACCTGCAGCGCCCTTGGTGCAGAATGTCTCTTTTCCAGCCGCCTCGTCTGCAATCAAGCGGTGGAACTTGGCGAAAAAGTGCACGCCGCCGATTGGCGCACCGTGCTCCGACAGACTCTCTGGGCCCAGGAACAGCGCGCGAAGCAATGCCCGCGCCACGGCCGAGCCGCCGATGCTCTTCTTCACGACGACGCGCAAGGTGCCGATCGGCAGCCACGCAACCTCCTTCTGCAAGAAGGATCCGAACTCGAGGAAACTCGCATACACCGCGAGCTGATTCCGACGATTATCTATCTTCAAGGCGTTGCCCACGCCAATGTCGTCGTAGTACAGCAAAAGCCTCCACGGCCGATCGCGCGACACAGGGAAACGGCGCATCGCTTCCCAAAACATTGAACTCCAGAGAGGGCAGTCCGACAGGAGCCTCGGCATCAGCCGATGCGGCAGCGCCACGCTCCATCGGAAAGGCGTGCCGATCTTGGGCTGCAGCCGCACTGCGCTGATGAGATCGGCCACGGATGCCGTCTGCGATCGCTGCATGGCCCGAGCGCTCACGTCTATAGCATCGCCCGCGTCGTCGCCATGGCCAAGCGCAGTCACGATTCGCTCGAGCAAAGCCGCGGACACGCCGCGCAGGGCCAGACACTGTTGCAGTCGAGCCCGCTGCTCCACCTGCTTGTCCACCTGCAGGGCGCGTTTCCCCATTGCGCCGACGCCCGCGCGCGGGAGGGGCGGGGGCGGGGGGCAGCGCGAGGCCCAGCGCGGTTGAGAAAAACGAATTGCAGCCAGAGAGACGGAAGTGGAGGCGGGAATGGATCGCGGGGCGGAGTAGCCGCCGAAGGGCATGGCGGTGTAGCCGCCTGAAGGGTCGGGAGGGGCGGCGTAGCCGCCGAAGAGCGTGGGGGCGAGGGGGCATGGGGGGAGGGGGGAGGGGGGAGGGGGGTGGGTGGGGGAGATTGCGGAGGCGCGAAGTGAGCGTAGCAACGGAACTTGCAAGGGAGATTTCTTTTTCTCGCACGCAATTTCGAGCTTGAGTTTCAAGCTCGGGTTCCAAGCCGCCAGCGCTCGGAGACGGGCGCGGCTGGCGGCTCGAGCTCGGGACGGGCGCAGCGCGGGACGGGCGCGGCGGCGGCTG